TTATCTTGTGGTGAGTCACTTTGACTGGGATGTGCCCCCTTTGAGCCTTACTTGGTGCTGTGTAATTATTGTCAGCACTGGGAGAAGGGCACAACTTGCCATAATATTGGCCTGTTTCCTCCTCTGTGCAAAAGGACGTGTTTTTGCAAGTGTGATGTTGCCTGGTGTCACCTGCAGAGCTCTCTGGCTGCCTGACCCTTCTTTTCCTTTTGCTTTTCTGTCTTAGCTGTAATTGGCACCTGGATAATTTTAGAAAGCTGTTAAGTTCCTTGACTGTGTAAATGTGCTGGTAGTACCAGGGAGGGAAATGCTTGAAGAAGTAGCCAGTAACTTCGCTATGGGTAGAATTTCTGAAGGAATAACAACAGTGAGGGGAAGCTAATAGCAAGCATCCAAGAATTTGGCTGTTTTGAATGCACCAAAGTTTTATTGCCACATGTTGTTTGGCACAGTGTTCCGAGCAGATAGTTTTGGGGGATAGGTTTTGAGGAAATTCAGCGTTGGTTGTATGTGGCCAAATGTGTCCCTCTGTGCTTGTCTTCTGCTGCACGAATCCCATCAGCGGGGCTGCTGTTCCCGCTCTCGGCATTGCCGTGGCTGTGCTGCTATACTCAGATCCGATGGGTGGGTTGGGGGTGCTGTTACAATCTGCTTAAATATTGTAGAAAGAACTTTCAGATTCGAATATTCCCTTGAGCAAAATTAAAACTCATACAAGTTATCTGTTGACACCAACACTGTTTTTATTAATTGATAAGAGATGCAAAGAGAAAGAGGAAAAAATAAGAAAAGGTTGCAAAATGCTAAGATTACTTTTAGAAGCAGAGAAAACATACCACCAAAAACTACCTTTCCATCGAGTTGGTCTGTGGGGTGGGGGGGAGAGAGAGAGAGAAGCAGTTTTCTGCCTTTTTTTTCTCCGTCTCTGCCGCTTTTCGGTGTTATCTCTTTAGCTGCAGGGGGTCTTTTACAGCTTCAGTTCTCTGGAATGCAGCCAGGATGTGGGCTTCACCGCTCACATCGGCCCTGTCCCAGGCCGTGCGGAGGTCCCGGTCCAGCCGCACCTCTCGGCCCTCAGAAATATGGTCAGGGTGGAGAACTCACGCAGGTGGCACGGTGGGTCTCAGTCCACTTCAAGACGACAGAGATCCCGTCTCTGGTGACGGGCAGGCAGCAAACGGTGGCAGAAGAAAAGGTGAGGGCGAGGCGGGGGAGAGACTCTCAGCTGCTATAGCCAAGTCTCTTTCCCACTCCTCTTTCCCTACTTTACACAAATTTCTTTACAACTTTCATAGTGTTCAGAGGAGGTTGTGTGTGGTTTCTTGGCACGTAGCCCTATTCAGATGTTCGAAGAGATAACAATAACAGGATCCTTTGGCAGGAAAACTCCAGTGGGAAAATTCTGGTGAGAACTTCTGGTGGGAAACTGACACAGAATTTTTGGTAGGAAGTTTTTTGACAGGCAGAAACAATGGAGAAACATAATTTTTAGCATTTGTATGTTATCTGTCTGTTACAGGTGCTTGATGGCTCTCCATCAGAATGGTGAGGCGGGGGTGCCCATCCTTAGTGTTACACTGTGGGTCAGGAGCATTTTGTGGTTTTGCTGTTGGAAGATGGAAGGGAGTGTGTGCTTTTTAAATCCAAGGACAGTCAAAAAGCTGTGAGAGTTTGGAGGCATGACAGCAGTTTTAAAAAATCCTAACCCTTAGAGAAATGGCCAGGGAAAATGGTTCCTTGATTGCAAGGAGAGGGGGGGGTTGCTGTACTCACTGACCAGAACACTCACTTTGGGAGGTACAGGGTGAGGAAATCTTGGCCCTGCATAGGCTTGAGAAAACATATATAGGTACCTGTGCGTGACATCTGCACAGATGTAGGAAAGGAGATCTGTGACATTCAAGCTGCCAGGGAGTCAGGAAACTGTGCGATTGTCTGAAAAAGGCAAAAGCTCTGTCAGCCTCTGTCGACACCTGTACCAATGGAGATGCAAAATACTTTTTCCTCCTCTCAGCTGAAGACCTCACAAACCTCACTATAGGTTTGACAATGAACATTTTGCAGATGAGATAGAGATAATCAGAGTTGTTTTTTTGTTGTAAAATCTAGGTAACCTAGGGACGGAATGAATATTTTGGGCATAAAATTGGAGGTAAACTGTAGGGAAGAGTCTATATTCAGAGTGTACTACCTCAATTAGTCAGTAGGGGAGTATTTCAAGTCATAATTAGGAAATCAATATTTTGGTGCTGTCTTTCTGAGAGGGAATAACAATTCTTTTCCATAGGAAGGAAAGCACGTAGCCCCATGATTTAAGGTGTAGATGACAGGCTGCCCAGAAGAGCTAAAGGACAGCAAGACTTTTCTGTCCTGACCCTTTCTGTAGCCTGAGCCCCCCTCTCTCATCTGCCGTTGGTGCGCCACTCTCGGCACTACGCGCCCAGCCAGGGCTTGCGGGGCGGGCCCCTTTGGTCTGGGAGGAATCTTTGTCCGTATTCAATTTTGGCCCTCGGCCGGCCCCTGGGGGCGCAGTGCGCCGGCCTGTGAACGACTGCCCTTCCCAGCCGGAAAGAAAGGCCTGAGCCCCCCTCTCACCTGCTGTTGGTGCACCCCTTTTGGCACTACATGCGCCCTATCTGGAAAATACAAAAATGCACAAGATAAAGGACTTCTATGCTTAAAATTGGCATCTTTCATCCAACACCTAATACACCCTTCTTCCTAGGCTGCTTCAACTTGTCTCAGTCTGGGGTACATCGTGTCCACTTATCTGGTGGAAAAAAAAAGAAAAAAAATGTTAGTCAGGTCACCCATGTGGTCACTGAGACCTTAACCATTTAAAAGAACTCATTTACCCTGAGCAAATGAGAACTCTGACCGCAGCATATGAGAAGACAAATGACAACCCAGCTTCAAGGCCCTGCTATCCAAGTACCATCAGCTCCACAACACTCAGCTCTAATGATTGCACACGAGTTACGTACACCTGCTCCATCCAGCAGGACTGTACAGCCATCGGCTCGACTGTCTAAGGTAACTGGCATGTTGACGTGAGACACTGAGCAATATTCCATCTACCCACTGATCCACATGGCAGGGCAGAGCAGCTCCAGGCTGACCTCGAGTGAGACATCCCGTACCCGTGAGGACACAGACCGTGTGACACAATTAAGAGACAAACCTCGCTTTGACAAGATTTGATTGCAACAATGGAGATGCTGTGGAAAAGCATGACCTACGGGACTACCGTGATAATGTGACTAGGCTCAAAGGATCCTGAAAAGTAAAGACACTAACAAGATGACCAGTCAGAAGAAGGGCCTGTCAAAACCCTGAAGATGGATCCGCGACGTCGCCGCGTTCGGAAGCTAAGAACGGAACGATGCAGAAAACGAGTCCTCCTGCTTTAAATGGATGGCTGTGGAGCACCACTGATGATACGGCCTGGAATGAGGCCTTAAAAGAGGTCCAACTGTAAAAGTCAGAGATGGGATTCCAAAGAAGGCCTGAACCTGCAAATGAAGTGACTGACAACTTCGGAACTCAGCTACACAGAGAAGACCTTCAAGAACCTAAGGATGATGCCTGATGCTTCCCATAAGCCCCTCGAGGGCAAGATGCAAAAACCCTAAGGACACAAAACACGGACAAGATGAACAACGTGACACAGAACAACTGGAACTGCTCTGCCCTGCACACAGGAATCCAATGATACAAAGTAAGCCCTTCCTTTCATGCGTCCAAATAACCTGTAATAGGATACCCGTTGCACCAAACTAATTTCAAAAATCCCTCTGGGCGATGCACATACTTGGACCGACTCCCAACCCCTCTCTGGGTCTTTGCCCTGCATTTATCTTTCTGAGAGCTGGGGATGCAAATCCATCTCTGATGCAAAGGAGGGGCACCTGGGCTGGCTCAGAGGTTCCTGCCATCGTGAGAGTACTTGGAGTCAACTACGAGAAAGAAAACCATACACAATATCTGAGTAGTGTGGCACGTGGCTCCAGCCCCAATGATCCCTCTACTCACTGTCACCGAGGCAGGTCCTCGGGTTGCTGGCTCTGACCGGAGTCACACGCTGTGGCTGTCATCTCCTGGGATACCTGAGTGAGCAAGAGACAAAATTAGAGGGCGTTTCTAAAGCTGCAGTGGATCCCTGCTCCTCCTGCTGTCTCCCCGACTCACCTCCAATGCCCGGATGCTCCCAAAGGTTAGCCAGATGGTACCTGCGACCACTAAAGCTCAGCACCTCGTTGCTCATCCTTTTAATACTCGGAGATTGCAGACAAGGACAGTTCAAGGCAACCAATCCGGGTCAGTCGTCCCTTTGTGAGGTGGTTCCTGCAGTCACGAGGTTACTCCGAGTCAACTATGAGAAAGAAAGCCATAAACTATATGTCAGTTGTGTGGCATGGGGCTGGAACCCCAGTAATCCCCGTACTCACTGTCACTGAGGCTCTGACCAGAGTCACACGCTGTGGCTGTCATCTTTCGGGATACCTGAGCGAGTGAGAGACAAAATTAGAGGGCATTTCTAAAGCTGCAGTGGATCCCTGCTCCTCCTGCTGCCTCTCCAACTCACCTCAAATGCTCATCTACTCCCAAAGGTTAGCTGGATGGCACCTGCAACCAAAAAAGCTCAATGCTTCGTTGCTCATCTTTTTAATACTCTGAGATTACCTACAAGGACAGCTCGAGAGGACCAAACCGTGTCTGTCACCTCATTGTGAGTTGGCTTCGGCCCTGTGAGGCTGCGTATGTCTCCTGCAAAAAAAACCCCAGAGGCAAATGCCAGTACTGAGATACTGCCCAAGAGTGTGCTGCTCCCATGGCAGTTTCTGTCTGACACCCCTTGACCGTGACCTCTTACAGGCAGGGTCCCCGTCACGTTGGACTGCACGTTAGAAGTCTGCCTGTAAAACAAAAAACCAAGTATGTATGCAGATTCACCAGAAGTACACCACCTGCAAAAAAAGCATCTAGTTCTGTTCTGCAGTCACTGCTCACCTTGCTCACTGGGCTCACCTTCCCTCTGGTGCCTATTGTCTGCTGGGCCGGGGGCTCTGCATCTTAAAAAAACCCATAAAAACAAAACTAAACCACCAAACCATCCAAAGGCCCAAAAGTCATGTCTTGGCTCTGACCTCACATGACAACCCACCTTCTGATTGTGCTCCTCCGGCCTCTTCTGTTTATCTCTGCTTTACATCCAGTCCCTCTGACGCTGCAAAGAAATGAGTTAGCAAAGTCAGCCATATAGATGGAGGGACCTTAACTGCTGCCCAATTATCACTTCTCTTTAGACAACCCATCTGGGGTCTAAAGACAACCTGCACAAACAAACACCGACCTAACTTTAAGGCCCTGCTGTACCGCTCCCATCATCTCTGGTAAAGCTCTCGTGACTGCACGCACACTGCAGGTAGGGGCTGCCTCCAGGAGGACTGGAGAACTGCTGCCATGAGTGGCTAAGCCTATTGACAGGTTAACTGTAAAGTCTCGTTTCTATTCCATCTACTCCCAAGTCTACACTGCAGGGCAGAGCAGTTCCAGGCCGAACACAAACTCCAACGACACATTTCCAGACAAGTGCTGTGGTGCAACGAGGAGAGAGAACTCCGAGAAAGGAACGACTGCCAAAATGGATGTGCTGCCGCATGAGAAGACGGAGGATACGGCAAGACTGAACAGAGGAGGCTCTGAGGAGCCTGAAAAGATACTCTAACAGAATGTCCTGTGACAAGAACTGCCTACAAAATTGCTAAGATGGATGGGAGACAATGCTACATTCAAAACCTTCTTAGATTCTCACAAGTCCGGGGCGGTTACAAGAGATGACTGCACGGCACAGCCACCAATACAACCTGTGAGGAGGCTGTAAAAGACATCTGACCTGACACTTCTCAGATGTGATTCCGATGCACGTCCAAGCTAGCGAGCCAAAGAATGGATGGTATGGGCACTGGGCTGGGCAGTGCAGAAGTTCAAGACCTTAGGAATGATGCCTTGACATCTCTGATAAGACCTTTGAGGGCAGAAGGCAAAGACACGGTGATTGTGAATTGTAAGACACGAAACACAGACTGGACAAAGGACATGACACAGCCCTGAACGGCTCTGCCCTGCACAACCTACTCCAGTGATGAAAAGTAAACTGCTCTTCCTATGTGTGCCAAGGGCCTGTTAGGGCAGACCCTTTCCCCTATGCTAATTCAAAAATCCCTCCCTCCTAACCATAACATTGGACCCAGCTCTCATCCCCTCTCTAGGTGGTAGTCCTCCACTTATCTTTCCCATAGTCGGGGATATGAATCCATCTTCGATGGGAAGGAAGGATGCCTGGCTGGCTCAGAGGGTCCTGTGATTGCTGACTGACACAAGAGTTCGGCAGCACGTGGGCGATAACCCCGCAATTGGCTACTCACCGTCCCCTAAGCTGAGAGGTTCTCGGGCCACTGGCTCCGACCTGAGTCAGAGGCTGCTGCCGTCACCGTGTGCCGTACCTGGGTGAGTGAGAAAAAAAAGTTACGTGGTGTTTCTGAAAGTACAGGAGACCCAGCACCTCCTCGCTACCTCCCTGACTCAACCTGAATGCTCCTCCTTTGCCAAAGGCAGGCCGGATGGCACCTGCAACCAGAAAAGGTCAAGCCTTAATTGATGAGCTTTGTAGTACTAGGAGACTACTGATGAGGACAGCTGAAGTCCATCAAACCTAATTGGCAGGTGGCTCCGGCCCTCTGAGGCTGCACACATTCTCTGCAAAGTAAAAAACCAAAGGCAAATGTACATACTGAGATACTGCCTGAAGGGGTGGCTTTTCTGTGGTAGCTCCTACCTACTTATCTCTCATCAACAGTGACCTCTTACCGGCAGGGTCCCTGAAGCACTGGACTGTCTGTTAGAAGGTGGCAGACCCCCTGGAAAACACAAGAAACAAAGCATGTGCACACATTCACCACAACACCTGTAAAAGACCATCTACTTCTGTCCTGGAGTCAATGCTCACCTTGCTCACCGGTACTCACCCGGATCACCTCCCCTCCGGTGCCTAGAGCCTCCTGGGCTCAGGGCTCTGCATCTGAAAACAAAGAAAAACCAAACTAAGACAAGAAAATCCTTAACACATCAAGTAAACATGGAGCCAAAAGCCACATCTTTGTGCTGACGTCAGGTGATGACCCACCTTCTCGCTCTGCTCCTCTGGCCTCTTTTCTGTTCAGCTCTGCTTTACACCCTGTCCCTCTGACATGGTAAAGAAACCCTAACCAAAGTCACCCAGATAGATGGGGAGAGCTGAAAGAGTCTCCCTTCTCTTTAG